GTGTGTGTGTGTGTGTGTGTGTGTGTGTGTGTGTGTGTGTGGGTGGGGGTGGGTGGGTGCGCATAGAAGACAAACTGTTTGTAGGTGATACATTAGTTGCATGTTGGGGGTTATAGATAACATTATATTTAAGATTATAAGTTGTCTGCATGTGTGTGTTCGAGTGGGCGTGGATGTGTGTGTGTGTGTGTGTGTGTGTGTGTGTGTGTGTGTCGAGTCACGTTTATCTATGACTTATGGAGACTGTGACATCACTGCCTGCCTGCAAGGCTTTCACAGATTATTTTCCTCTGCTCTGCCACGATGCACGCTCTTAAATTTAGAGACACATTAACACACATCTGCATGTGCGCACACACACACACAGATAAACAAAAGGATGACTGTGAGTATCTAACTGACGGTAAATCACACGAAAAGACCACAACAAAAATGTTTGTGTGTATCCAAATGTTTGACTTCTCTGAAAACAATATAAGACTTAGTGACATGTTCTTTCATTACCATAACACACACACACACACACACACACACACACACACACACACACACACACACACACACACACACACACACACTACCTGGTTCATTAACACGTTTCTTCTCCTGCAGGTTGATGTCAGTAGTGGAGGAGGAACCTCCTCTCTCTTCTCCTCACCCTCCTCCTCCTCCCTCCCTCCCCCCTGCTCGCTCCCCGTCTCCTCCTCCTGAGGCAGGACCGGCGTCCCCCTCCACCTCCTCCGAGGAGTCCAGCAGCTCCAGCACGGTGACGGCCGGCACTGAAGCAGCTCTGAAACACATCTCAGAGGGAGAGCTGCTCATCAGTGCCAACCAGCCGGCAGCCATGACAGGTACCATCATCATCATGTGTGTGTTAGCAGGACATCTGTAGCCTGCAGGTGTGACTCTGTGCTCTGTTTTTCTGTCAGGGGGCGGGGCTGTGTGCAGCTTCAACAGCTCTCTGCAGGAGCTGCAGGATATGGTGAGGAACCGCTGAGCAAGGCACTGCTGGAAGCTTAGCACAAGCTGAATATTAATATAATGATGTGCCCCCTCCAGGACTTTGACCCCCCAAGTGAAGGACAGGTGAAAGGTCGCGACCTCCTGCGGGCCCTGCTGACCAAAATGGAGCAGGGAGTCACACAGAGAGGAGAGAGGCCTCAGCCCGAGGTGAGCCTGCAGGCATCAGAGTGCATGTGAGAGGCACCACACCTCAGCTTATGACCTCTGACCTCGTATGTCCTTAGGGCTCCTGGGAGAGGGCGGACGGGAAAGTAAGCTTCACCCACAGCGGTCAGTCCGGCTCACCTGGACAGATCAGTCAGGCTGCAGGTACGCCTGCCTTCAGACGATGCTCAGGGACAAAAACACAAGTTTTGTCTCGTTTAACACAACAGAGCCACTCACACTGTTCTCATTCAGACACCTCCAGGTTTTACACTCTCACCTGGCTTCAGTCAGAAACTGGCCCCGCCTCTGATTCACCTCTGACATCACTCTGTTTCCATTCCCTGCAGATGTGTCAGAGGTCAGCTTTGAAGCCACCAATCAGGGCTCGTTTACTTTGGGCGACCTGACGGGGGAGCTAATAGGTACACTGAACTCTGACCTCCACACAGAGCTGTCGCTGTCTCCTCCTCCACACCTGGAGAACACACACACTCCAGGACAGGTGAGACACACACACACACACACGTTGGCTGTTTTCGTGTTTTTTAATTTTTATGCTGATAAGTGTGTGTGTGTGTTCAGGTGCTGCTGGTCAGGACGTCCAACAGTCACACAGGTAAGAAACACACCTGTCTGTGATTCTTGAACGTTTTGTGTGTCTGCAGATGTTTTTTTTTAGCTGAGATCACGGACGCCGCGAGCTTGGAGCAGCACAGGAAACATCGTCAGCCGATAAAAAGTGACTCACTTTTTATCGGCTGACAATGGAGGAGATGAAATGAAATGAGCAAGTTTGGAACAACATTTGAGGAACAGAAACTGACCCCAGGTCAGCTGTCCACATACTTTTGGTCACATAGAGAATAAAATGGCTGCTCTTCATCATGTGAGCAGCAGGGGGTGTCAAGTGTCCACACAAAAACCAGCCCGAGTCTCCCAGTGGGCTGCCCTGGTTCACTGCCCAGTGAACCAGGGCAGCCCACTGAGACCTGTTTGATTCCTAAAGATGACATCAGACACAGGAAACACCTGACAGGTAGATCAGTATGAAACTGACCTGCTGAGAGCCGCAGCTGTTAACGAGATCAGGTGACTCCTCACTCTTCAGCTTTTATTGTTTTAAAGTTGGAAATTTGGTGATGCTGATTGTAACACGACACAAACACCGCATCACGGTGGCGAGACGCCACCGAGGCGTCCCCGCACAGCGGCACGGTGCTCAGGTCGATGTTACATGACCAGGTGTTCTCTTATTACATCTGGAATTTGATCACATGGGTCACGGACGTCGAGCTGGGGCGCTCTGAGTTGGGTGAAGTGTTTAAGGAACAGGCTTCTGTCTGACTCCGCCTCCTTCGGCGAGGTGTCAGGTGGTGAAGGCAAACTTTTTAACGGGAAGCTGAGCAGGTCAAACACTCGCTATGAGGAAATGGGAGCATGTGGGCGTGTACTCTTAGCTTTAGATCTCAACAACGAGGCAGTTGTGACATCATACGACCAGCGCCTTACAGGAACCAGAAACTGCTGCGGTTCACTTCCTGTGAATGAAACGTGCCTGAAGACGAGGACGAAGAACATCAGCCTCTCTCTTTGTGCTCTGGTTGTCATGGAAATATATCACAGCTGGTGTGCGCGCAGGCTTCACCGACCAATCAGAGCACGTGTTTACATACATCTGTGTGTGTGAAGGTTCGTCAGGTCCACCTTCGTCTCTTTAATTAGAAGATGCTCAGTAACCATGACAACGGAGGCATGTGTAGTAGCGATGGCTCTGTCTTGATCGCCATAGAGACGCAGGCTCATGGGCCACTCGCTCTGATTGGTTTATCTCTGGACACCGTGAGAACAGCTCTGCATGACTTAGTACATAATAATCCTTCTGTGTCTCGGCTCATCTGCTGTGTGAAACAAGCGGTCTTAGCTCCGCCCCCTTTAAGGCAATTAAAAGGAGCGTTTGAACGGCGGTCGGGAGGAGCCGTTCTGTGACATCACACAGACCCCTGAGTGTTGAGAGCAGGCAGCGCCGTTACTGTCCTCACACTGAGCTCATTGTCCTGTTTGAACGCCCGTCCCAGCAGCAGGAGTCATGTGACAGGAAGTGAGGAGCAGCAGTTTCACAGAGGGTTCGATTCAGTGACTGAAACAAAAATAAATCGTTTTCAGGGACAGGAAGTGAGGCGTCCAGACCTCCATCATGGCAGCTCCTCCTCACAGTGAGCTCAGTGTCCTGCAGCTCCTCACACCGCCTCCCGTCTCCCCGTCAGAGCTCCTCTTTCATGCTCCTCCCTGCTGGAGACAGCCGCTCAGTGTGTCCCAGAAACCCACAGCTGCTTTTCCATTCCTGGTGGCAGCTCAGGGTCAGCGAGTTCCTGCTGCTCTCAGGCTTCAGACTAACCTCATGAGCCGAGCTGGCAGAAGGAAACGGACGCGTCAAAGGGTTTCTCGTCACCTCCTCTTCCTCGCCTCGAGCGCACCATAATGCTCGGCTGTGACCTCAGCGAGCCTCTTTCTCCTTTCACAGTGCTCTGATGTCAGCGCGTTATGTAAACGCTTTACTCACTCAGCAGATATGAACACTGCAGCTCCGAGTGCTGCCCCTCTGCAGGCTTCCAGAGCTCAGCCAATCAGAAGAAGGCTAGGTTAAAGGGGGGGAGGAGCTGAGGAGTTTATTACTAATGGAGTCATGCAAAGCTGCTCTCCAGAATAAAAGATTCAGCAGGAAGAAGTTCAGCACCTTCAACAGCGGGACGAATCAGAGTTCTGTTGTTTACAGTGCTCCAGTATAAACAGTAACAAAAACAGACAACACACACATATACAAAATATACAATATACATATAAGTCACTTACTAATAAATATCTGAATAAGAAAGAAGAGCGTGTGCAAAAAAGGTGTAGCTAAGGCAGTAAACAGTGTGTTGGGTGGAGGAGTTGTACAGGGAGCCACAGGCAGGAATGATTTCCTGTGTCGTTCAGTGGTGCATTATGGGTGATCTCAGTCTCTCACTGAGTGCGCTCCTGTGACTGACCAGCATGTCATGGAGTGGGTGGGAGGTGTTATCCAACATTGTCTTTATCCTGGACAACAATGGCCTCTGCAGCACCACCCTAAGAGAGTCCAGCTCCATCCCCACGACATTGCTGATCAGTTTATTGAGTCTGTTGGCATCAGCAACCTTCAACCTGCTGCCCCAGCATGCAACAGCGTAGAGGAAAGCACTGACCACAACAGACTCATAGAAAATCCTGAGCGTTGTCCGACAGATGTTGAAGGACCTCAGCCGCCTCAGAAAATAGAGACGACTCTGGCCTTCCTGTAAGTCCAGTTTATGTTCAGTGTGTACTCCAAGGAATTTATAATCCTCCACAATGTCAACACTGACCCCCTGGATTGAAACAGGGGTCAAGTGTTTCCTGGTCTTCCTGAAGTCCATTATCAGTTCTTTGCCACGTTGAGCTGCAGATGATTCTGCTCGCATCATGTGAGTGTAATAACGGCAGGGTGGGCGGGCCCAGCTTCCTGTGTGGACGCAGCTGAATTCATCTTATGTGTTTGTATCTGCAGCTCGACAGCAGGAGGAGGAGGGAGGAAGCAGGAAGATGGGCGTCCACCTGCCCGCCGTAAGACCTCCGGAGGAGGAGGAGGTGATGGAGGCGTCGGTCAGTGCGGTGGCAGACTCGGATTCCTCCACCAGCAATGGTTTTTAAAAAGAATATTTTTATATTTCAACTCATTTCAAATAAATAAAGTCTGATGGAAACCAAACAGATGTTATAATAACTTCATTTTTAAAATTTGCTCACAGCAATAAAAGCTTAATACTACACTAAACCAAAGAAACAAAAACCCAAAGAGACACGTGAACATCTTAATCAAACACCATCCTCTTTGAGTTTATTCTCTGAGACTCTAATAATGTTAGATATACTTCAAATAAAGTTTCACTAACCCGGGCAAACAGCAGCTAATAGAAGCTAACAGAGATCCCAGCTAAACAGCAGCCCTTACAGACAGCTCAGCATATGTTCAACAGCTGGTCAGCAGTGAGCTTCGCTGACTCGTATCGGCTCCTTTCACAAAGCGTTACAGCACCCAGAGTAAATAAAGATGGACGCCTCTCCCCCGGCATAGACAGCTGATGTAAACGGTACGATCATATTTAATGATCATATTTAATGTTTTTGATCTCTTGAATGACTAAAACATGTTTAGCCAGGATTATGCAGTTGAATCTGAAGAGGCGGGGCCTTTGTGTGAGTCAGAGTCCTGTCAGCGGGCGTTCGTAGCCTTCAAAAAGTTCCCGCAACTTCTTATCGGACAGTTAGAATGTGTGCTGATAACAAGCTGATGGTTTTTAACTTCTCACCTGTAAATATAAATGTGGCACAGCTACCGTATGTTGCTAACATGTGGAACTAATGTGAGGCTCCATAAAATGCCATTGCTGTAAAAACGCTGTAAGAACGCAGATGACTCGACTCCATTCAACGGCTCCAGGGGAAGGGGTAGGAAAACAGATCTACTGCCATCTAATGGTGAAAAACATTTGTACAGTTTACCTTTAAAATCAAATTACATAAATGCAGCGCCACCTACTGGCCACGGAAGATTCGTGTCACATCTGTCATGGAATTTAAAGAGCGATAGTTTGACTCTAGTGCTTTTGTGACATGACGACGCTTAAAGACGTAAACCAAACTCTCCAGGTGTCGCCTTCATGTGAAAATGTTTCTTTTTATTAATTTTTTTCCGCCTGTCCCGTTTGGTTCTTTGGCCATCAGAATTATTGTCTAAAGGCGAAGAAAGATGCCCAACGGATTTACTTTACCAGATGGACCATCCCGGCATCGCCGTATTGGAAAATGTGTTTCTTTGTATTTCACCTTCACCGTGAATTTCACTCATCAGTCATTCGAAATCACAGAGTCAGCCTGCAAGTCCAAACCATGGGAACATTTCCTATTACACAGCACACGCACACACACTCAGCAAACACAGACTGTGTTGCAGATAAAAGGATGATGGGGAGGAAATGGGATTAGTGAAGCAGCGAGGGGGACAGTGAGACTGACACTGACCAGGTCACACTCACACACACACACACACACACACACACACACACACACACACACACACACCACACACTACACACACACACAACGACACACACTGACACACACACACACACACAGATTTGCAGGGGCCTCTGGGTCATGTGGTAGCAGACTGATCCTGACAGTGTGAGGAATCCAGCACAGAAAACCCCGCAGGAAGCTGTTATTTACGACAATAAGAGCTCAGCGATAAAGTCAGCTCTTCACAATAAAAGCTGAGCTGAAAATACAGGAATTTGTTTTATGTAAACGAAATAAATATTTTATGATTTCATCAGAAGTGAAACGATCCTGACAGTGTGAGGAATCCAGCACATCTGCTGGTGTGTGTGAGAGAGAGTATCGATCAGGCTGATCAATCGGCTCTCTGAGGGTCCGTGTGTTTGTGTGACGATCGATGTTCTCAGAAAGAGGCTTGAACTCTGTGCAGGTTTAACTAAGCTGCAGATGATCAGCAAATCTCCAGCCACAGGAAACACACACACACACACACACACTGCTTCTCTACCTGCAGTCGTGTTTCTGATTGATCAGCTGAGCTCTGACTCAAAGATCTCATTTCACAGTTAACGAGGCTGAATTTCAGGTCAGCTGAGAAATAATCAGAAAAAATGATTTTCTGCAGGGATTAAATACAAACATGAGAGCGAGGATGCTTCGAGTGCTGCACTGAGCAGAACTGTGTGTGCGTGTGTGTGTGTGTGTGTGTGTGTGTGTGTGTGTGTGTGTGTGTGTGTGTGTGTGTGTGTGTTACTGATCCATAAATATGTACCGAAACTTTCATGGAGCTGCGTTTGCTCCTCTGGTCTTGATCAATATTCCATCCTGTGTGTTTTTTTTGTTGTAAAACAGAAGTTTGTTGTCATGACGTTCAGCTCCACCAAAGCAGAAGATGAGATGTCATCGTGTGGTCATCGTGTGCTGCCCTCTGTCTGGAGCTCTGATGGTTAAAAATTAGTTTGTCCTGTAAACATCTGAGGAACTAAAGCTCATCGACAGATTGTCTGAGCTGACTGAAACTGGGGCTGTCCTTCGCAGGAGGCGGGGCTCAGGACGGCTTAAGGAGGTTCTCATGACCTTCAAGATGTCTGAAGTGCTCCACCTTAGAGTGAGCTGGAGCTGAAGATGTGGATGATTTGGACGTTAAAGTCTGCATCCCCCTGAGGACTCCGGGAACCATCACCAGGTAACACATGCAGGGTCGTCAGGGCAACGCATCACATCAACGCTCCCCCATCAGCAGCTGGTCCCGTCCCTTTAAACCTTCAGGCTGAACCTGAAGGAGCACCGTTCTGCTGCCTTTTTGTGTTCCCGTACCCGGCTCAGCGGCGTCTTTGAGCCTGCCGGCTCGCCTGATTGGTCGACAGGTGACAAGCCGATTAGTTTTTTCTAACAGGACGTTTTGTCCCGAGCTGCAGCAGAGAGCAGGCTCCAGGTTTTTAGGAGGATTTCTGGGTCTCAGACTCAGCAGATTACTTATTCCTCATGAAAAGGCCCGACGCCAGGACATCACAGGAGCTTAACAGGAAGTCGCTGCACAGAAGAACAAAGGCTTCTCAGCGCAGCGTTGTTAGACCTCTGATTGGTCAAGTGTAGTGTGTCCTACCACAGGTCAACTTCACCTTCACGCTCAGCTCGCTCCACCACGACAAACCGGTACGCTGTCCACATCATCCATCCATCATCATTACCTGTGAGAGGAACACCTCACACGCCATCATAGCCCCGCCCAGTCTGAGATAAAGGCCACGTTCTGGCACTGTGAGGTTTCCAAGACACTCTCCTTGCCTCGCTACACTTTGATGATTTGTTTTATGTTGTCTGATCTCTGATCAGCTTCACGAGGTCTCGGCCTGTCAGACAGTGAGTGACTGCCGACCGTGGTCAGCAGGGGGCGCTGTGCTGTGAGCGCCTCCTTGACGTGTTAATGAAGCATGACCTCATTAGCTGACTGAGAGTGTTGTGACCCAAAAACCACACAAAGGACCTCTCACTGTCTGTTCAGCTGTTTGCAGGAGAACAATAAAGATTAGTCAAAGTAATGACGCGTACAAACACGATTTCAGCTCTCAGCCACGCCCCCCGCCTCTGCAGATGAACTGGTAGAAAAATAAAAGCTTCTAATAAAAAGTTTGGTTTTGGTAGAACTTGTTTGTTGTTTGCAGTTATTTCCTTTTTAGTGACAATAAATTCTAATGTAACATAAAAAATAGAAACTAAATGTTTCCATTTTGTGGTTTATTAAAACCACGAAGCGGTTCTAATAGCATCGCATAGATAACGGCTTTAGGACCTGCGGGAAACCGTCAGAGAACAGACCGGCCTGAGCTGCAGCGCATCATGCCAACGATAATTAACATGATCAGGCAGGAAGTGCCCTGACTCCGCCCTCCAAAATAAAACCCCATGCTCGGTCCGATGTTAAAATAAAAGCCTTGACAGTCGTTCAGTATTTTTGCTGCTCTCGTCTGCAGTCATTCGACTCCAGTCATAAGTTAAAAACTAGTTTCTGCTGCAAACAGCTGAGCAGAGATCAGGACAGCAGACACAAACGTAAATGATAATAAATTCATATTTCAGCATGCTCACTATCCGCTGGGACGGTTTCTCCTTTATATGCTTCATTTCCTGAAAAGGATCGAATGTGTTTGTAGTTTTAATGAACTTTATGACTGATATTATTGATCATCTGTCCTGATGCTCATGTTGATGACTGTGTTTGCTCATATTTACTGTGACGATTGGCCTCGTTTCTCTACAGAGGGTTGTGCGGTCAGCTGAGCGCACCATCCGCTCCGAGC